GCCAACACACACAGAGGTGCGCTGTGCTGATCTGAGCAGTCGCCGTGGGCATCAGCAGCGACAGCGGCGCTCAGGCCAGGCCAGGCCAGGCCACTGTGCGCGCCCAAGAAAAAGCAGCTCTGGCAGCAATCCTAGCTGCGACTGCTGCTAATATGGTGGTGGCCACTTCTTCTCCCGCTTATATAGCGCAGTACATGCCACCGCCGCACGCAGTCTGCAAGCTGAAAGCACGGGGACCAAAGTGAGCAAAGAAGTAACCATCCAACAGCAGCAGCAGCAGGGTCCAACACTGCGAAAGTGTAGAGTGGCACTTGTCGACTCGATTGATTTCAACTAACGACAGTGGCTGATTTCGGAATGGAAATGGTCTGCAATTCCCCGCCAATTCGAACTGGTGGTCACTGGTGCTACTGCGGGCCTGTGCTATCGATTTTGTGATTACTGCCACCACCAGCAGCAGCAGCAGCAGCACTTCATCTTCATCTTGAATAGCGGTAGCCACTCAACAGCAGGAAAATAAGCATGCAAAAGTTTTAAGCAAATATGGGTCACAACTTCAATTCAGATATTTTTGGAGTGGGGCATTTCTTTCCGGTAGCACGGTGGTTAACTGCCGCCGTTTAATAAGAAACAAAAAAAGTTGTTACAGTGCTGGAGAAAGCATTCATTACTTTTTCCTTTAGCTCTCTCAACTTTCCCACTTTGAAGTAGAAGTATCGATTTGCTTTGATTTTAACCGTGATGTGAATGAAGGAGCGTCGCTCCCTTGCCAACTTTGGCGGCGCTTTTGTATTTTTGGTCGGCGAGCACAGGGCTGCCATCTGTATTGCTAACGATGCGGCGAAAGCAGTCGTCAAAGTACGTTTTCTGTGAATGGGTTGTACGACAAACATTTTCAAGCCAAAACAACAAACAACTTTTGGTGTCCTCTAGCGCCGTCAGCTGAGTTCTTCAAGCTGTACAACTCCGTTACCAGAATGCTTGCCCGACGATCCGTTTCTACCGTTTCCCGAGTGCTCTTCTCCTCCAGTAAAGCTGGTAAGTTGGCGTCATGATCCGCAAGTGATGAGTATTTTAATTTACATCAATTTCATGTACAGGTGCTTCCATCGGAGGAGGTGGTGATAAGCCCAAAAAGGCGCCCAAGGCGGAGAACAAAGAGTTCAGCAAGACAGCTCAACCAAAGGCCGCGCCAGCACCGCCGCAGCAACCACCCAAATTCAGCAATGACTCCTATCAAGCACCAGAGTACTTTGCTCACGACAAGTGGTCCTACGCCAATGTGATCCTCGAGCTGGCCAGTAAGAGATTGCCGCAGAAATCAAACAAAGTCCCCAGTACATGAGCGGGTAAAAAAGTGCACTTTATGAACGTGTTAAAAAATATGTATAAAACATCAGCTGATTGGAGGCGATTGGACAGATTTACATCACAAAGTTTGCTGATCAACTTGATAAAGATGGTGATTTACTACTAGAAGTAGTGTGTTATGTTGTGTTATCCTCTGTCACTTCCAGCTTCATGCAAGTGGAAAAATAAATTACAAAAATTATATAAAAAGGCGTTTTGTGTTTTGGTGGTTGCTGGTTGAGTGGCGCAAAAAGTATAAATCGTTGATTTGTTGCAGTAGTAGAACAAGAGTGGCAAAGAGATTTTGCTGGTCAGCCAAATAAAAAAAACAGACATCGGATGATGGTGATGATGATGACGATGATAGCCGCGGCATTCATTCTAGATCTGACGGCACCTTGCTGTAGAAAGTGGGCTAAAAAAGTAGAGATAGGAGAGCAAAACAAAGAATAGATAAGTATCGATATTTTTGTTGTTATTAAGATGAATGACAAGTGCACTCTCACTCTCTCCCACATACCTCATCGTAGTTGTTCAGATCTTCAATGCTCTTTCGCGTTCCGCCGGATCGAAGCTCCGAATCCGAGTCGGAGGACTCGTCCAGATCATGTCCATTGGAGTTCGACCGACCAGTGGCGCCCTTGTTGGTCAGCTCGACGAAGCAGGTGTCACAGACGCGCGATGGCTTCGTGCTGATGTTCAGAATTAGGTAGCTGTTCTTGGAGCAGGCGCCGCAGACGATTTTGCCACTGTGTAGGTAATGAAGTGTTAGCAAACAGACTTTTTTGCATCAGTTTATCAAGTTCAGAAAAGTTCAGTACTGACCAATTTCGACAGTGGTGCTTTCGGTTGATCACATTGAAGGACGTCTTGGAGCAGTGCATGCACACGTCAGAGGCCTTGTCGGGAATCCAGACGGCTGCGTGCTCGGAGATGGGCCGATTTCCGGCTGAGGAAAGAGATTTGATGATGATTAGAAAATGTTTGAACCCTGCCTCATTCATTCAATTGTCCTTACTCTTGTCGAGCAGCTCCTTGATGCACATGTTGATGTGATTGATCCACTCTCGCTTCTCGTTCAGCGATGCGGCGTACACCGCAAAGGACTTGATGGGCGTTCGAATGAGCCAGCCGTACTTGATCTCCTGGTCTGCGGGGGCGGAAGTTAAAAAAGTTAGAAAAAATATCATCTCCCTTGAAAGACGAGCACTTGCCATCATCATCGGGCAGGACTTCAATTTTGACGTTCTCCAGTGGAATAATGTGCTGGCGGTTGTACTTTTTGTTGCGAATGACAATGGAGCCGTAGACGAGAATGTCATTGAAGAGGAACATCTGCCGCGGCTTCAGCTTCTTCCGGCACATCTTCTTGAGGACGCCCTCGCCCACCAGCACCCGGCCCGCAGAGTTGGACAGCGCCACGCCGGACATGCCGAAGCAGCTTTCGACGTTGGCAATCCGGCGGATGTTCTCATCGGTGCCAACTGTAGTGTGGGGAGTAAACAAACAAACAAGTGGTCAGCAACAGTATTACACTGTGATGTACTAATAAACTTACCTAAACGGTCAACCATTGTGATAATGTGTGGGTGAGAGAGTTGATGAACGCTTCAAAATATGAGAATGAGACTGTCACCGGCCAACAAACAAACAAAAAGAAAGAAAGAAGAGACACCAAATCGATGGAAGAAGTGCAGAGAGAGAGTGCTCTTGCTGACGCACACTAAAATTGACAAGCAGAAGCGCGCACAGAATTGGGACAATCTCAAATGAAAGAAGAGAAAGAGTGGTAGTGACTTGCTGCCGTTGTGATGGTATTTTTGCTGTTGCTGTTGTTTTTTGCTGCTGTTGTTTGGCTCGTACAGTCTTTGGTTGAGGTTACAGTGCAGCTGCTGCTGGTGCTGGTGCTGGTGGCAATGATGATAGTGATTGCAACAGTGATGATGGCGGTGGTGGTGCACTGCGTGCAGAATGTGCCCTGTGATAGTAAAAGGGTGAGCAATGCGCCGAGACTCGAATTAGCAGTGATAGCAGAGGTTGCTGCAGGCCGTCGCCGTCGCAGATGATGATAAGGACGATGCTGCTGCTGTGACGATGATCAGTTGTCACTGGCACTGTAGCGTGCTCAGCGAATGGAATGATGGTCCTGATTGCCCTGCAGTGAATTGATACTGCTGAGTGCTGCTCTGTGCGTGCGAATCTTATCGTCGGCGATCCTCGCAGCAGTCCCAGGTGAGTCCTGCAAGTTCTTGAAGGGGCGAACAAAATACAACACAGTTGAGTTGAGGGGCGTGAAAGTGCTAGTGGTGGTGGTGCAGTGCAATGAGCACCAATGTCTTGAATGACCAGTGGTTGACAGCTGCTGCAGTGACGAGGAGATGCTCAGAGAAGGAGAGAGAGTACACAATCGACTGTGTTCCCTTCTTCGGCAGTTGCATGCACTGCAGCATCAACTTTCGGTGTGAGCAACAGTGTGGTGACAACAACAGAGAGAGCGGAGCGAGAGCAAAGTGAGGGAGAGGTGTGGACTAGTCACTAGTGGCAGCATTGCCGAAGGGGAACAGTCTGTGATTGCAGGCAACCAACTGAGGCAGCTGGCGCTGCTCATTCACTACTCTATCCCACTGACTGACTGTGTTTTGTCTGACAGTGTCTGCCCAGTTGCAGCCTGTCGTCGTTTACTGCTCCAAATGCTGCTGCTGCTGTTGATGCTGGTACATCGATACTCTCGCCAATGGAGTGTGATGATCTGTCACGCGACCACCACCACCACCACCACCACTGCCAGGCGCTCTTGGTCTCTTGGATGCGGTTGATCACCTGTGGTTGATCACCTCTTTCCTCTTCTCCTCTTTTTCCTCTGTTGCTCGTGGTACTTGTGAGCTTGTACACGGAATGATGATGATGAGTATTTTCCGCTCCTGCTGCCATGGTTAACCGCAATGTCCTGCAATGCCGAATGTGCTACTAGGTGCACAGTCTCTGTCAGTAATGTTGTCGCCGGTTTGAACAGTCTACGGAACTTTCCTTTTTTTCATCTTTCTCTGTTGATCACCACTGACTCATCTCACTGGCGACACACTGATTCTACGGGTTAGGAGGCGGCCAAGCTGCTGATAAACCCACCGGTAGATGCGTCAGTGCTGTGTACTGGTGGCTGACTGTGTAAATCCACCAATCGATTGCATTGTGCAATGCCCACTGTGTGCGCACTGTGACTTCTACTTCCGAGGTTGCCGTTGCTGCCACCGCCACTGTCGATGTCACCGAGATAATGAAGTTTTTAGAGCGCGCTGTCTGCGCTCTTTGCAGACTGACTAGGCAACGAGCCAGCAACCACCGCTGACTAAATGCTCCCATAGCCACAGCCACATTTCTTATCATTGCCCTTCTTCTCCTTCTACTCATCGTCCATTTGCACAGAGTTTTTCCTTTTTTAAGCACATTTACAGTAGTAACTACTACTAGGCAGCAACCGCTGCACTAGTGGCAGCAGCAGGGGCAGCAAATTGAGCAGTAAAAGAATGACTCATATGAGGTACAGACAGTCAGACACTGAATGAGGAATTGATAGCCGAGGAAAGAAGGAGAGAAAGATGCACTGATTTTTAATGGCATGTGTCAACATTGAACAGAAAGGGAACTGAAAAAAAACTTCTGACGACAGTCGGTCGGTCGGAGGGTCATTTGGTGGTGGTGGCCACCACCGACTCTGCCCTCAGCAGCGGTAACAACAACAATTAATGCGAGCTCAATTGGAAAAGAGCGACCGCGTCCCCTCCACTAATGGTAGTGCGAGCAATTTGTACAGAGAGATGAGAAAAAGATCAAATGAAAACAGAAAGAGCAAAGAGAAGTGTGTGTACAAAATAAATAAAAGCGAGCAACAATAACAATTGACTATCATTTGGCGATCATAAAATGATGCTGTACAGCAGATGAGATGATGATGATGATGAGAACTTCAATACTGATAGTGATAAAAGAGAAAGTGTGGTCAGATCGGTCGGTTCCGGTGGACTGCAGTGTGTGTGTCAATGGGTGTACTTTTATATTATTTGTTTTCTTGCGTGTGTTTGTGTGTGTGCTTTTCGCATTGGGAAAAAAGAAAAAAGGAGGAAAAAGGATTGTAGAAAAAGAGATTTGCGAAAGCAGCAAAAGTTAATCGGTTTGGATTAGAAAAGAGAAAAAAGGTTGGGAGAGAAAGACGGTTTTATAAAAAAAAGGTGATGTGACGGGGTGGCTGGTGGTGATTATGGTAATGGTGATCATGAATCAGTAATGCTGATAATGGTTGTTGTGATGATGATGGTGAAAGTAAAGAAACCAGTGGACGCCGATTCGGGGTCTGGACTGCATATTTTTGTTGGTTGTTGTAGTCAGAGGTGAAAAAGTGATCAAAGGAAAAAAGAGGAAGAATGAGATCCAAGGTTGGGCAAGGCAAAAAACAAAGAAAGCGAGAGAAGGAGAAAAGTGAAAGATAATTTGGTATTGTGATGCTGCTGCTGATGATTCTGTTGCTGAAATGCGCTGTTTTTGTCGCGGTAGTGTCTCAAAAGATCGAAAGACGTTGCCTGCTCTCTTTGCTATTACTTCTTCTTTTTCTGTTCCTCTGCTGCCGATTAATCGAATTGCTGCTGCTCGAGATTAGAGGCGAACAACGGAAAATGAAGATTAATGGCGATAGTGAATGCCCGGGAAAGTGAAGAAGGGTAGTGTGCCTTGAGAGAGGCAGAAGGAGAGCTGTCGATGTACCCGAAAACCATTCGAAGCGGCCATCTATTCACCATCTATTTGCCATGCCTGTCTTACCCTGTTTGGGAGGACTAGCGGTGCCCACACTAATGAGTTGACTCGGTGTCTGCCAGTGTGTGTGTGTGTGTACTGTGTGTTAGCTGTTGTGTGCCGTGTTGAGAGTGTAAATTTAGAAAAATTACATCATCAACGAAACGAAGTGGAAGCGAAGGGAAAGGGAAAGGGTATCAGGGAAGGAATGGAATGGAAGAATGGGCACAGCGAGAAGAATTGCAAAAAGTAGTAGAAAAAGGGGTTAGTGACAGATAGGTAGAATAAATATTTGAGCACGTTCACTACCCCCTTTCTGCCTCTTCCTTTTCTGCTTTTCTCTACTGGCATCAGTTTCCACTGCAGCAGTAGTGTTTGTGTTCATTGTTGATCACAAGTTCACAGAGACACTGAAACACACACACACTGGTGGCCAAACTCTTCAGGAGGGCACAAACAGGCCAAACAAACATCAGGCATTGTCTGAGGAGTGTGCCCAGAGAGTGCACAGCTCAGTGACGCTATTTAAACGAGTTTGTTTCATTTTTTTCGTCTCCTTCTTCGTTTCTTTTGTCAGTGGCAATAGCAGTGGCGGCTGGGGAGCGATTAGGCAAGTGCTTTGTTGCTGCTGCTGCTGATGCATCTTCAAAGGTATTCAACAATGTCACAGCGCACGTCAACACTAGGACAGGACTGGCCACCGCTGCGCCTCAGTGCCTGCGACTGCTGGGGCTGGTCGATGGAGGCCGAACGGTTTAGATAGGGAAAGAGGCGGATGTAGGAAGAGGCGGAGGTGACGCCGGTGTTTGCTCCACCACCACCACCACCTTCTCCAACATTCAGCGTGTCATCGACGCTGGAGCAGGTGCGCACTGGTGAGCCACCACCACCACCTCCTGTGCCAGGCACTGTTGAGTAGCTGCCTCCTGAAAGTGTGACACTGAACTCCGAGGGAGGCATCAGCAGCTGAAATGGCAGTCCAGAGGCACCACCGCCCCCTCCTCCGTTTCCGTCACCGAGGTTGTCGTTGCTGAGAAAACCTCCAAAGCTCTGCGTCCGCCTCCGACGGGACTTTTCGGTGCCATCTGCGTACATCAACACTGGTTAGTCATTTGATTTGTAGTAATTCTCAAAGAGCACACAATACCTTTGGAGTGGATATGCTGTGCAACCAGCGCCGACTGCAGCACCTCCGAGGCCATCTGGTCGGCTCGCGACTTGACCACTGCCATTGGCAGCGTTGAGCCCATCATATAACTTCCGCCTCCGCCGCCAGTACTTGAACTACCACCGCTGCCCACCGAGACGGAGGTGGTCGTCGACGAGCCTGGAGCAGTGGTGGCAGCATTGGAAAGGTGGTGAGAGTAGTGCTGCAACGCTCCAATCGGCGGTGGGGGCGGCGGCGGAAGTGGAGGCAGCTGAGGCTGCGACTCGTGCTGCACATGATGCGGATGATGGTGGTGGTGGTGCTCCGGCGGAAGGTGGTGGTGGTGACAACAGGGCGTGCTGGCCACGTGCAAGGCTCGAGGATGCGAATGCGAGTGGCAGGAGTGGAAGGAGGAGGAGGAGTGCAGCGCCGGCAGCGTCGTCTGGTGCTGGTGCTGGTGGTGAAGGTGGTGGTGGTGGTGGTGGTGGTGGTGCAGACTGGAGGCTCCCTCTACCACCACCGGCACTACGACCACCTCAGAGACGATCGTCTGGCTGATGGCCTTCGCGTAGCTGGTGTCATCAGAGTCCAGCTCATCGGAGTTCTGCTCGCCGCCCGAGTCGTCGCCAGTGTTCTTGCCAT